ATACTGATCTTCGTTGTACGGCCTTACAGAGGTAGCCGCACCATAAAAGTTACTGTATCCTAGAGTGCCATTGACTATCAGAATCATCATGATCTGGAGTGTTTGGTACAGTAATGTAGCGCAACTCCACCTCGAGAACCGATGACTCTTCAAAAAATACCAGTAGCAGCCGACGTCTCGACGGACGGCCAAGTTAAAACCTGCTGTTTACCTCATATACCAATCTTTCAACATATAAGACGCTCACTTGTTTTTGTAACAACGCAAAGGTCTTTTCAGCAACCTGATGGAACTTCGGCTAAGTCATGCTATGAGGTCGTGGGATCTCATAGTGCTAACCGAGACATGATTGAGTGAAGTGATCACGGACGCCAAAATCTTACTATCCGGAATATCTACTCTGTGCAACGATCGGCCGAATAGAGAAGGTGGTCTACCAATCCATTACTGCAGTGACCTACACCTTGATATCATTGATGACCTGGATGTCCACACCGTCGAAGCCTTTTGGTCTCGTCTTCACCTAAGACGTGCTGGCACATGTTTAGAAGATATACTGCACCGCCTTCCGTCATCTGCTTCAGAAATGCACAATCACCTAGCTTCCAATATGAATACTATCCTTGCGCCAACACACAGTCGAATTCCCCTGGTTGGTGTCTTCATTCTTCACACCAAAGAAACCCCAGCCTGTCTCGATGGAACTGCAGGAGCTAATCATTGGATTATCACTACATAACCACGTTGCCTCTCCCTGAAGATTCAGGTTTTGGAATAAACTAAGTATCCTTGATCTCGTGTTCATCAAAGAGGAGTTTGATCGGAACGGTATCGATAGCTAGTCCTTTGGGCCGCAGTGAACGTGCAACACACTTGTTCACCTACATCTGTTACGCAGAGTATTCAGCAGAAAACAAGGATGACTCCCAGCTCATTACCGATTACGCCGTTCTAACTACACTCCTTTATGCAAGTGATTGGTCATTTCCGGCTGAACTATCCCCCGATGAGGACTGATGGGATTTGGTTCATCAATTCAACAGGCTAGTTGCCAGTGCTCCGAGAAACACCCCCACGCGCCATAATGTAACGAGAACGATGCGGGATAGGAGCAGAGCGTGTATCGCCACAACAATGCGCAAATTGGCCACTCTCAAAACCGTACAGGTATGGACTATGGTTTCTTCTCTCGACGCACCGTGGAGGAGGATTTGGGAGACGGTCCATTCCATGTGACTTACGAGCTTGAGCCTAGGGAACAATCTTTCCATACCACAGCTCCTCTCCGTTATATCCGATTCTGGCCAGCTAAGACTCGTTAGAATGCTCAAGATTTTCTTTTCGCTAGCTGCATCAGCCGGCCCGCCTTCAGTCCTGTGGGCTTCAATAGCTGTGTGTTTGTTTGATTCATTGCGTTCCAGACAAATACCTCCTTCGTTGTTCTGTTCCCAGGCTCGGTACCGGACGTTGCTGGTGATCCGCTCTTGCCTCGATTCGCAAGGATCGCACTACCTTGTCTCAAGCATTGCGCCATTTGGTAATTCCCTACTATCCCCGTGTTTGTTGTCTTTCTGGTTCCCGAGTAGTCGTTGACTTCCACCTCTCTCCAATAAGAGCAAAACCATTTATACCAAGCAGGACGCGGAAGTGTATGATCACAAAAGTTTCACTCTAACGAAAATACAAGGAATCTCCGGGTGCCGAAAAATGGGAAGCATGCACTCTTCAGCGGAATTGTTGCGTGTCCCTGGCACGCGGGGAGGAAGTAAAGCATCAACAGGATCTGGCTGAGGGATTCACTTTAAGCCCAAAGCTCCTTTACAGACATGTTAACAAACTCCGTAAATCGTAGAGAGGCATTCCTACCCTCCGCACGCCACGCGGATCAGCACAAACTATAACAGAAGCGGCCAACGCCTTATGTAAACAATTGTCCCCAAACTTCCAAAACACGAGTGCGTTACCTATGCTGTTCACGCAAGTTATTCCACCACCAAGACTTATCCGGATCTTGTTCACGGCTACAGATGTTCTGAGAGGGCCAAATTCTCTACACGAGTATACCACTACCGATGCTGATACTATCCCACCGCTGAAGTTAGCTGCATTGAATTTGACGGATCCAATCTTCAGGTTCTTCCAACGATGTTTCCACCGGGTATGTGTTCTCACTATGTGGAAATACGGAATCATCACTCTTGTTCACAAGGGGAAAATCGTGAAGACCCGGTTAACTATCGCGAGATAACACATCTTCCGATGCTATCTAAATTTGTGGCCTATCAACGCCGAAGCTCTCATAAATTATTTGGAAGGATGCAAAATCAAAGCACCTGAACAGCATGTATTCCGCCAGAACCGGTCTTGATATACAAACTTGCTGCGTGATCTTTTCAGTTGCACTGAAATCGAGGACAGCGGTGTGGGGGTCTCCGCAGTTTATCTTGCATTTTATCTGAACCACCGCATCTTCCGCAAGCTCTGGAGCTGTGTAATTTGTAACCCAATTCCCGTTTGGATAAGTAACTCTTATTCAACGACATGTGCATGTGAGAGTTCGCAGCCCCATCTCTGACCCTATCGATGTTCAGTGCGAAATGCCACAGGGTTCAGTACTTGGTCCACGCGTATTCCTGATTTCCATGAACGAACTCGCAATGTTGATCGCTACCAATTACTTACTCTTCACTGTTGTCCTCAAGATATGGCAGGTCATTAATTCAACAAGTGACCACATAGGGCTTCAGAACGACATTGATCGGATATAAGAATGGGGGACTCAGAAACTGATTCACTTAAACACCACGAAGTTTAAGACATTGAGCAGATGCCGTCAATCCACTTGCGAGTACAGACTGCTGCATTACTCTTTACAGCGTGCGTCTTCTGAATGCCATCTAGGTGTGACAGTACAAGAGAATCTTGGCTGTTCACTTCAGGCTGAGAAGGCGTTTAAAAAATCCAACCAACATCTTGGCCGTTTACGGACAGCGTTGCGGGCCCTTTGACCCTTCAATCTTCCATCAGGGACTCAGTGCCTACATTAGACTCTACACGAAACAAGTCTAGCAGCCCTGGCATAAGCATGATTTCATCGCACTGAAATGAAAATGAAATGTGTCAGCTTATGCGCCGTAACGGCGCTTCACTGCCGCGCGACCACCACCAGTCGCGCGTGGGCTGAGTATACCGCGAGGACGCCCACCCCTACGCGGATTCGAACCGGTGACCTTATGGTTGGAAAGCAAACGTGCCAACCACTCGGCCACCGGCCATTTCATCGCACTAGAACTGTCACAACGAAGGGTGGCCAAGAACGTCAATGTTCTGTTTGATCTCTCATACCAACTGAGGTTGAAAACCCTTGGCATCCACAGTGGACAATATCGCCGCCTGCGTGGCGATTTGATAGTGACATCTTTGATTCTGAAAAATCCAAACCCTGAGAGGTCACCAGCTAAAGCTGACCACACAGATTAGCCGGTTGGAATGCCACCGGAAGTTCTTTTCATTTAGCATGTGCCAGCCATGGAGTGCCCTACCCAGTAACGTTGTTTTTTCCCAAACTAGAGGTATTCAAAGATGCGCCCGATGATGCACTCATATATTTACATTACGTCATATAACCCTCTATGTCCGGGTGTCAACCTAGCACTAATATTAACGTGCCCACTTTCAGTTTATGCACATCATATATGAAATACTTATACTGTGGAAACTGGATTTACGTATCCCGTTAGCCCAAAGAAGCTGCACGCCAGTGAGCGTTGTCATTTCCATCATATACTTATTTTGCTGACGGATTACATGAAGTATAACCACTCCCTATAGTGCTTTGTGTGCGCCCACTCAATTCTTAATACTATCTATCGTTATGCAGCAGTGCAGTTAAATCTGTGGACGCTTAAACTGACAATTCAGTCGTCTTTTGATCTATTTTTTCCCTTCAACCCTCCTACGGAATTTCTAGGGCACCTGCTTTTTCACTCGTGTTAACTCATTGTTCATGGTTCCTTGAAATAGTCAAACACATCGCTTATGGCATACGATGCAGCGGAACGACTGTCGCTGACATGATCATAACCATTGCCCAGTTGCTCGATCAAGACGTCGCTGTCGAGGTAGTGCTTATCCAACCGTCTATGCAAATTCATCTGTAACTATGAGACCAACTATATTAAGCGTACTGACTAAAGTTGTGTTGTTAGCAACGATGAATGCATTCCTAATGGGTCAAGCAAACAGTGGTATCTTTTAAGGTACGATCGCGTGAATCGAGAAACCGGGCGAACTCAGCAATCACCTATCATTTGTGAAGCAATAGCAATCAAATGTACCCCAATTCGGCCCAATGCGCTATCCGGATGACCTAAACTGTGGATACTTGGAGCCGCGGTTATGCATTGAGACAGCCCACCGATCAGATACAAAAATAGATATAATGTGACCCTGAACCTACCACGGTTACGCGAAGTGTACCAATTGATCACTGACCAGCCAACAGTCAATCATCTCGGGCTTTGTATTTGCAACATCCATTGTTGGTTGCGCGTTTTCATTTTTAATTTTTCCACTCAAAAGTAAGAGAAGGTAGCGCTCTATTTCAGCACACAGGCTTTCGATCAATAAATTGCGCAGAAACAAAAAAGGCGGTGCCTCTTCCAAAGGTATACATAGCAAGTTGGGGTGTTTCGAATCATGTAACAGTATCCTCGCCCACCTACTTTGTGAGAGGCGTTGGGTGTATACACATATGCTCTCGTATTTCTGGCTTGTGTATTAAACTTCAGTAGACGAGCGTCATTGAAATCCGTTATAACCGACTTCTGTGTTACTGCCTTCACTCGAATAAGGCGCGATACGTAGAAGTTAAAGACGTTTTGATATGCAGTGCCATTTGAGAAAACGGTTATACGTGTTAAAGTATTCACAACCAAATCATAAGCTCAGAAATTTCGCCATATTTATCTTGGTACTCTATTTCCTTCTTTACTTCGCAGAAGCTTGTACTACAGACTCGCTACATTCGGGAGACCATCAGTGGTGAACAGTGCGAGATACCAACTTTTATGAGTGGAAAATTCTATCCCGATTGCATTCCTTAGTAAGTTGCCCCCACGAAAATTGGGGCATAGATACAGCCCCCCCTTTGTTTCTACCACTTTGGCCTGAAATTCGTCCAAGGTTTGGCCCTAGAATCAGATTGAAGTGTCCGGAAACAGGGAACACCATCAAATTTGGAAATTCCCATCACTTTCATTTGAGGTCGGTAACATCTGGAGACATAAATCAAATAATGCAGTGCAAAAATATGCATGTTTGGACCACGCGTAAATGTTTACACTGTGAAAGAAACCTAGTTGGTCAGTGCGCATTCAAGAGCTCGTATCTCTTTATTAAACTAAATAGCAAATAACGATTTGGACGGTTCAGAGTAGCGAATCATACATGAGAGCTGCTTGAGAGCTACACAATTAGGAGTTACCACGTCTTTACTTAAAATGGAAAATCTGTTATTTCGAGGATGTGTAGGATAATGGCAGTTTGAATTACTGCTAACAATGGTGATCACTAAGATGAGGCCTATGTGCATAGTTTGTTTAACGTAACGGTGTGTCAAATGCGTGCAAGACAAGGCTCGTGTTTGCTCTGTAGTATCTGTCTGGCACACTTTGTGACTACATGAGCATTCTGCGTATTCCTTTCCTCCTACTCTAAACTAGTCGTGTGATATTACTCCTCCCATCGGAACGTATTACCTTAATCCTTGACAATGATTTGAGGCAACCATGGTAGGATGAACTACCTCAACTAGTTTTGCACGCGCATATGTAATTGATACTTTTGATGTGGATAACGACTAACAACAAACTGAAAAATTGCATCACGCGTTCACGGGAATCGATCCAGGTGATGGCCACTAGATAGCTGTCATGTTTTATACTTTGATAGCTGCTGCTGCTGCTGCTGCTGCTGCTGCTGCTGCTGCTGCTGCTGCTGCTGCTGCTGCTGCTGCTGCTGGTGGTGGTGGTGGTGGTGGTGGTGGTGGTGGTGGTGGTGGTGGTGGTGGTGGTGGTGGTGGTGGTGGTGGTGGTGGTGGTGGTGGTGGTGGTGGTGGTGGTGGTGGTGGTGGTGGTGGTGGTGGTGGTGGTGGTGGTGGTGGTGGTGGTGGTGGTGGTGGTGGTGGTGGTGGTGGTGGTGGTGGTGGTGGTGGTGGTGGTGGTGGTGGTGGTGGTGGTGGTGGTGGTGGTGGTGGTGGTGGTGGTGGTGGTGGTGGTGGTGGTGGTGGTGGTGGTGGTGGTGGTGGTGGTGGTGGTGGTGGTGGTGGTGGTGGTGGTGGTGGTGGTGGTGGTGGTGGTGGTGGTGGTGGTGGTGGTGGTGGTGGTGGTGGTGGTGGTGGTGGTGGTGGTGGTGGTGGTGGTGGTGGTGGTGGTGGTGGTGGTGGTGGTGGTGGTGGTGGTGGTGGTGGTGGTGGTGGTGGTGGTGGTGGTGGTGGTGGTGGTGGTGGTGGTGGTGGTGGTGAATTACAAGTTCTCAATCCGCAACTTTCAATTTTCATATGTCCTTTATCTACTCATCAGCAAAAGAATATTTCTGTACATCACATTCATTGTTGCGCTGTGCAAAATCACAAGCTTTATCAAATCCGGAGGTGAATTTAGTTTATCCGCTTTACTGTGCTTTGTTGATACACCGTCTTTACAGACCACTGCTTTGCATTTGCTCCATCGGCTTGTTGTCCACTGCTGTTCATTTCATCAATCACTTTAATTCACCGCTGACAGAACTGCTATCACCTCTTCTATGATCAAGTAAGGCCGAAACGCGTCGTGCAGTGCAATCTTTTCGGACGGGCGGAAACCAATTTTCATACGCTTCAGTTACGATTCTAATGACCGAATTAATCAACGTTCGCTTCGAAGTGAAGCACAGTCCATACTGAGACTGTACCTCGCAATCAACTCACAAAAGTAATGCTTCAAAGGACGCTCCCTTAGGTCAACAACCGTTGTACCAAGCGTAGATTTTAGTGGTAGACTTTCACGCTAACATCTCAATAGTCTTGGGTTCGAGGCCTGCTGTTTCTACTTGTTGAGATCAAAAAACATCGAAACACCCCGTGGGGGCAGTGTTTTCATACGTGCAACACCAAATTTCCATACGCTTCATCTAGGGGCCTAGTACGTACTGCATTCGACTCAGTTAATCGACACGCGCTATGACGTTGCCTGCTAAAGAATGGGGTTGCAGAAAAATACACTGCTATCCTACGCGCACCCTACCTCCACATCTCTGACAGAGTGAGGGTCTATGGTAGACTTTCGTAGTCCTTGGCTACCAACAGTGGTGTAAGACAGGGCTGCACTATGTCTCTGTTCCTCCTCAATTTTACATTTGTAGAAGTCCTGCCGAAAGCTTTGTAGGTTACCAAACGTTTGGTCTACAGCAACAACTGCCCTATTGAGGGACGTACTTAGATTATACCGATGATATCACTACTTGGTGATGATTCTCAGAGCATGCACATCATTCTAAAGAGACTGGCGATTAACGCGTCCAAGTACGGAGTGTGCTTCTGCCCGTCGAAGTGTAAACTGCTGCTCCAGGATTGGACTCACCCGTTCCCGTGCTCAGTATTGAAGGTACACAGCTTGAACAAGTGAATAGCGTTGTCTACCTAGGCAGCTGCGTGTCAGCTGGTGGCGATATTGTGAAGGATGTTCCCCACCGCGTCGTCAAATTCTGTCGGTGTTTGTCAATCTGAAATACTTGTGACGTCGTCGGGATGTCTCCCTCTTGGTAAAGGCTCGTGTTTACAGTGCCACCATCATTATCATCATTATACATGTCAGCTAGAGGTGGGAAACACCTCAGCTATTGTGCCGCAATACATAAAGGAAAAGGAAAATAAATACAACAGTTGCATGCCAGCTGAGCTGCCAGCAACAGATGGGCATCGTTCCGGTAAGCTACCAGCTGGCTATTAGGCAAAAAGAAGGATCATTATGTTTTACGCTACGAAATGAGATCGCAGATGGAGGGGAGGCTAAAAGGGATGGGGAGGGACAAAGAAACTCACAACAGGAACGCCACTGAGGTCGGCTCCTTGCCATGTCAGCAAGTGTATCCAGCCAAACGTGTTCCTCGTCTTTTGGACCCCAATGTTCCTCGTCTTTTGGACCCCATTCGGGAGATGTTGCTTTATGGAAGAGAGTCGTCACTAGTTCGCGTAGATGACATGTGTCGGCTATCGGCCTTCGACAATAGGTGCATGAGTAGGATTGCTCGTGTGTGCTGGCAACAACGCATCTGCGATAATGAAGTTAGACTTCATGTCTTAGGAAAGGCGAGTATTCCTACAATCAATCTGGCTCGGTCACATTCTGCATATGCCAGCTGAGTGTTCGCCCCGTCGTGTCCTTTTCGCTCGAGCAGGGCTTGGCTGGAAGGGACTATGCTGCGGACAGCTGTCCACTTGGTAACAACATATGAGATCGTAGACTTCACCTCTTGCCGCCGTTTGATCCACACGTCTGCCTGGTGGGGGTGCAGAGGATGAAGTGCCGTGGCGGGAAACTATTCCAGAGATGGCGCGTAATCGAAACAAGTGAAAGGTCTGTATACATACTTGCTAAGATTCAAATGCTTAATGCTTAATAAAGGAAAAAAGAATAAAAAATGGCTTGTGCAAAATGAGAAAAAATGCCCGGCTTTTATCTTTTATTGTGGTTTGTTGGCCACTATCAGCTAACGTACCATGATGATGATGGACTGATTAAACATGTCTGTTTCCAGTAATTTCCATGGTTTTTGGCACCATATCGATACAATAAACTGTCGCTGATACTACCATTACTACTATTACAACTACTGCCACGGTCCTAGCGATCGGATTGACTAAGCATCCCTTCAATGCGGATCCCGGTCCATATTGAGCTTGCGCCTCACAATCCAATCACATATCGAGTACTGCCAAAATGAGCTACTATTCGAACATTCAGTCTGTGTTTACGAACCCAATAGCAGCTCACCACTGTACATCTAATACTACCGTTATATATTCAAGTTTTCCGATTCCCGCTGCATCTACTTTTGCCCCATTTGTTCTTTTGTAATAGTGTCGCGCGTGAGGCTAGGCTCGTAGAGTACAGTGTTTCATCCAGTAGCGCATACACTTGAAGTTTTACAAATGATATTTTTGGGTATGTAAAGTTCATACCTTTGCTTATTCGACGCAGTAACGAAGAGCCTAACGTGGCACACACGAAATTCAGCCAATTGGCGAATGCGTGTGCATAAGTAGCTAAGTCCACTGAGTCCATTAGTCGACTCCGTGAGGTTGTCCTTCAATGTTTGCTTTGCTCGGCCATTGGATTCAACTGATCACGCACTGGACACTATCACCAGTGCGGGCACCAAACAAAGCCAATAGCAAGGTAATCCAAATTCTTTTGGCTTATGTGTTTCGGTTCCCCCAGTCGGAATTCGGTCGCCCAAATATGATCAGCAATAACTATTCTTAATCACAGTTTATCTCCCGCTCTGAAGTAGCAGTGACATTGAGCTCCCATTTATTGCAGCCATGGAACAGCTGGTAATACTTAGCAAAATTACTAGTTAACCCAATTTTCTTAGCGGTCTAGGCGTCTGTGTTAAGTAGACAGAGTCTACTGCTGCTGAACAACACTGTATTTTGTCCATAGGTGAACTGTAGCCAGATGGGAACACGTACTGGTTTCATTATTGTTTACTCTGCTCTACTTCGTCATCGACTAACTAATTGGAGATATTCTTGCCCCATAATGAAATGTGGTGAGTTTGTCTTCTGCATGCCACGATCAACCTTGATTATCTAGAAAAATGTTGATCCATGCTTAACACAGAAGCTCAGTGTGTTCCACTGGCGGTACCTCAAATATTCTTGTTACCGCAGACGCCGTTTTCTCCACAATTTTATTATAACGTTTGTCGAAGTTGCCGGAAGTATTTCATGAACAGTTGTCTATCATCAAGCACTTCAGTAGCAGAACGACCATTTTCGTAGTTAAAAGAGGCCAGCATGTGCAATGATCTAAACTTTAATTCGTTAGGAGCAGAAAAGCATGTACCATAGAAGTAAAATCAATTCAGACTTTCATCGATGCAATAATAAGCAAAATTATCTGCTTTGGAAACATGTTTATTAGATCCTGGCACTTCAGGGATGGCCACAAGAAAGCGGGCGCTGCGTTTGCATCCGCGATCCTACCGAACATATGGCTGCTTGTTTATAGGAAAAATCTGAAGATATTAGCGATACGCCGGAACCTCATACCGATGCTCCACTATCACACGACTAATAACAAATGGATAGCGGAGCCTTGGGACCCCTCGGACCTACGTGTTCTAGAACCTGTTTTCTGCAGGCTAATAAACAGACACCCGGACAAGCCCGAACTCATCACTGAGTACATTGGACGAGCTGGTTCTGCTTGTGCTTGTCGATTTCCTCTTGTCACTTACTTCGGCCTGGGCAACCGGGTAGTATTTCGCCAACTGACGAACCATGGATGGATTATCCCCTTCCAACCCCCAATAAAAATGACGAAAAAAATCAACAAATTGTTTGTTTTATTTCTTCATTTAATCTAACCCTTTTTTCCATTTCCGCCATGGTTTCGATGGCACGAGATATATACCGAACATGTATCTCTATTTCGTGTATGGATCCGTAGTCCTTTTCAAGGCAAGATGAATACAGAAGCGGATGAAACGCGTGAATCCGTATTCTACCTCTTGCATCAAACCAAGTGAGATACAAATGAGACAAACTAATTAATCCGTGAACAATGCTAATGTCTAGCTATTGATCGACGCAGTCAACGATGAAGGTGAAGCTAGTGAACTGTCACATGACCCCTCGAGAGCGGATGCGTCCGTAACACCCCTCATGGCCTCACACAAAAGAATATGGCATTAAGGTATGAAACGCTTTTATCTGGTTTAAGGAACTGTGACCATCTTTAGTCTTGTTGATCGTCTTTTATTTATCCGTTTCCACCTACAGCACTTTTCAACACACCTGTCAGTGGGCTTCTACACAGCTGACATGCCTAAGGATACTCAACCTGTGAAAATGAACGGATTGCATAACTACGACTGATGCACCAAGTCAGTATCAGCTGTAATATCCGACAAGGAGTTTTACGGGGTTCCAATATCTGAATTTACCTTGTCATGATAGTTCAACAAATTTCGAGTTCAGATACCAGTTTCTCCAACACGTGTAGAATGGTTTGCATGTATAGCTGGACAATTTTCATCCTTCTGAACCTTTCGAAAGCTGATGCAATTATCAGCGATAGACAGACACGTCGACGATTTCATTCAAATGGAATGTTTGGTCAACGGTTTTACGAAGGAGCATTCGCTTTCACTAAGGTTATTGGACCAACTGCATTGTGGCAATATTGTAGCTGGCCACGTGCCACCCAGAACCTACTCAGTGTAAAGGTAGCTGGAGTTGAGCAGAGTGCTAGGCAGCCACGATGTATCACTTCATCCTGTCGGCCTTCAGCTTTTCCTCCTGGTTCAACCCACAGACAGTTTCCAAAGTGGCCTAATGATTGAAATATGCTTTGGTGAGGTGCCGCCGGTCACCTCTGTGTTGTACCAGAATTCACTTGGAAACTCCGGTGTTTGATCTTACTCAGGGTTCCTCTTAACTCCCTACAGTTCGGAACTGAGCGACGAAGATCAACAAACCGTCAGGTCCACCCACAGTGCGTGCCGAAGTCATGGCGAATTCCGGTCTTGTGAACAAGATGAAGAAGGTGATTTGAGAATTGCTGGAATGCAGGAATATGATGTCGGAGCATGCGACGGATGGGGGAGGAGCTTGCATCGGCGATCGACTGCGGCTTCGACAGACCGGTTCACGTATGGGGCTGACAGTGAACTGGGTCAACAGTGCACTTTTAGTGCAGACGATCAAGTGAACCAATGTCCGCAGCATCACTTTTTCGGACCAACTTCCGCCAGTGATTATGGAAGGTGGGTCAGGCTGACTGATGAGTATGTCACACACGTGCGTTGAATATCATTGGGCGCTTTCCAGTCAAAAACCATAAATGTAAGCTGCAATATCCGGAAACTGACCTTCAGTTGTTCCACTTTGTTTCTGTGCTAGCGTAAAGCATCCTGATCGGAATCACTCAGTTCAGAGAAATGTGTTCTTAATGTTCGGAGGCTAAGGGGCGGGTTTTCTAAACCCAGAACATATGCAGCGCTTCTAGTTTCACCTGACCTAGCAGTTGCTGCAGGTCAATTCGCCTTATTATGCACCGGTTTGAGTACTACTCGCTGGATGACACGATCCAGCCGACGGAACTGAACTTCATTAAACACATAGCTTGATGCCCTGTATTCAGGCCTGGTTTCATCTACTATGTGTCCCAGTTGAAAGTTTTTCCTCTGCAATATGTTTTTCAAAATGGGATATTTGCTCGTTATGTGATCGAAATATCGTGCCCTAAAGTTGCTCATTTAGGCATAGGCAAGCGAATGAAATTCTTGCTTAAGACCAATACGAGCGAGCCCTCTTCACTCGTCGCGTATATAATCATGTGCTTGATAACTCCGCGACGGGGTATGAAGGTGTTTTTTTCAAGCCGTTATTCACACGAGGCTAACTTGTGATTACACTGATCCGTTTAACCGTGTCTAACCTGGGTCGTTACAGTTTGATGCTAGTGGCTAATCACGTGTCCCGAAATTGGCTACGCACACCACTTCAATAACTGACCGAGGCGATGTCTGGTTTGTAGCCATCAACCCATTTATTCGTTTGACTCAACTGCTATCACTCGCTCTCACTATCTCACTTCAGGTTAACCAGTCTGGCGTACGATATAGACAGTTGTCGTTTCGCTTGCTCCATACGACGGACTTGCCGAGTGATGGAGTTCATCAAAGGAGTGGAATGTTCCCTTATCGCTGAACGCGCCCCACTTGCAGACGAACACTATTTGGGTGCAATAGTTGAGACGAAACCTGATACTTGTGATGAACCGGTAGCTGAACCATATCCGTACGCGTTGGCGGTATCTTTACTGGAGAATAAACACGGAGGTGAATGAAGAGAGAAGGAGAACCTTTGGAAAATTTTGTGAAACAGATGTTTCGCACCTTGTTACCCCTTCTCAATCTAGTTTGTCTCCGTTCCTATTTTATTAAATCCGAAGCTGATATCAGTCGTAGTTATTCTAATAAAAATGCGTTTGTAAATTACCTTTCCTATGTACCATGATAAGGACGCCGAGCGTACGGCTGGACTATACAGCCAAGTATGGGTTGTCAATCAGCTGGTTTACCACTCTAGGCCACTGGACGGAAAACGGTAGATTTAAATGCCCCATACATTACGCATGTGAGGGGCCGAGAGGACGAATTCCACACATGGATTTGCCATAATTTGCCGACGTACTGCACAAACTCACTGGTGGTCTGACCAGAGATCTATTGAATAAACTACCCGCACATACGGAAACTAGTAGTAGACAAGCTCACAGAATGGCTTGCAAACGGCAACCAAAGAGCACGGTATGTTTTATCTTCATCGGTAGACATCTTCAGCATTCATAGTTGGCTTCAGTTTGCCTTTGTTCCCTAGAGTCAACTATGTTAGTTCGCTGGCTGTTCCACCTCACATAGAATGTTGGCTACGAGATCACTTGCTTCGCATGTGTTCATCTGTGCCCACCCCAATCCCTCGGTATTTCCACCTATGGGATCAGCTAAGGTCTAAATTTATTCCTCAATCGGTCACAGGAACAGCGCTTCCTTTTCTTCGGTTCGTCTCCTATCCGATGAAAGCGTGTTTCTTCCTTCAGTTGTCATGGGTTTGATACACTTCTTGTAGCAGACATAATAGCCATCAGGCGGTGTCATGTGTTTGGCTTCCAGTCGCAATTTGCTGCCCTAACGACATTTCATTTACCAGTCACGTTTCTGAGACTAACCTGATTCTATTTGGTCAAAGAAGGCACAATGAGGATAAGTTGGTTATGCCGATCGCAGAATTGTATTGTAACCAAACATGCAGGATCCTGAAACTTTGTCAGCGCACATCGCATTCTACATTCTATGGCAGACCCAAATAGTATCCAATAGCAGAGTCCATAAGTAGTAAGAGTAAAACATTAGTACTTTGACTGTTACCACAGAACTCGCCCGCAACAGCTTCCAAATGAGATAGTCCTCCACATGTCAGTAACAGCACTAGACACCAGGTTCAACCTGTCGAGCAGCGTCAGTAGTGTGCATCCATAAAATCCTTCGGAATGAACACGCAATTGGGTGAATCAAAATTTCTGCCCTTAGCGTTTCTTAGTTACTGTCAGTGAAGATCTTGTCTTTTGGAGCAAGCCCTGTCCTCTCCAACGTCCGTAAATTGCATGGCGTTGAAGGATAAGAGGCGCTAAATCGCAATTGGCTTGTAACCCATGACGATCCGAATCTATCCCCCGTGGACCAGTGGCAAAGCTGCTCACTGGCGGTTCAACCAGCTTGTGGTCATGGGTTGGAACACTGACAGACCCGGTGGATTCACACTACTGATGATGTGCAGCAGGTTGAAACTGCAGTTTAGTGCTCTTCCGGACATGTGCGGGACTAGCTGATTTATAATTTGGTGCGTCGAACTGTCTATATATATATATATATATATATATATATATATATATATATATATATATATATATATATATATATATATATATATGTAGGAGTCGGCGGGAGAGCCTATGGTGCGCTGAGGCTGGTGGTGGCTAGATCATGACAGATGGTCTACCCACTGCTGCTACTGTTGTGCCATTGGCTCATGTCCTGGGCGCCTCCTCGTAGCGACCGCTGGGTGGGAGTTGGGTTACACCCTTCTCCCTGCTAAGATCCAGGACACTAATCCGCATGAGTCAGTGAACTGACCATGTGCTAGACCCGCTGCCTTTCGGGTGTTCATTTAATCGAAGGCTTTGGCTGAGGACCCGAGTCGTTCTCCTGTCAGGATTGGGCGCCCTGGCAGTATCCTAGTCCAACCTCTCCGGAGGTTAGGAAGTGGTCGATGGCCCTCTTCCCGTAAAATCTAGCCATGGGAGACAACAGGTTACGGGTGATATTCTCAATGCTCGATTGGCGTAGAGCACGAGTGCCACGCATTGTCTCTGACGGTGGGAGGACACCTCCGGGTGTTCAATGGTTTGCTACTGCCCGCGTCAAGCCAGGCAGCCCCTGGTCAAATTGGTGCAAACCCGCCAAAAACCCACCTGCGTCTGGCCGTGGTCGCAGGTGCGTATCCAATTACGGTCGCAAAACATGTGATAACTGTTCCAGAACCTCAAAGGCTGCGTGTGACGGCCGTCACGCAGATCCCAATCTGTCTCTGCAGTCACATTCCCGAGCTGGATCTGCTCTCCACTGCCTTGTGGGTCAGGCTATTGAGCCAAAGGCTCCGGGTGGAGTCCCTCAAGCAAACCTCCGAAGCACAACGACCACCTCGCGTGCGATTGCCCACCAGTGCAATCGTATGCCTGCACGCAAAGCACTCAGCATCGGGTGCTGGAACGTGCGCACAATACTGGACCGGAACTCGAGCGAGCGCCCGGAGCGACGCACTGCACTGGTCGCAATGGAGCTGGCGCGCTACCACATCGATATTGCGGCGCTCAGTGAAACTCGGCTCGCTGAGCAAGGTAAGTTTCATGAAGCAGGTGCTGGCTACACATTCTACTGGGTGGGGAACGCCGCCTCAGCACCACGTGAACATGGGGTGGGATTTGCAATATCCGACCGCCTGAATGGCCAGCTGGTGGGTGAACCAACGGGCATCAGCGCGCGACTGATGACTGTTCGCCTACGACTCGGAAGAGGTAAGTTTGCTACTTTCATAAGCACGTACGGTCCGACCATGTGTTATCCTGATGACACGCGTGATCAGTTCTACACTGAGCTATCCTCCGTGATACGGTCTGTGCCGAGGAGCGACCGACTATTTCTGCTGGGTGATTTCAACGCGCACGTTGGGCGTGATGCATCGGTGTGGACAGATGTTATCGGTGCGCATGGCATTGGTTCAGCGAATGCGAACGGTGACAGGCTGCTCTCACTGTGTGCCACTCACGGCCTGACGATCACGAACACTCGGTTTGCACTGAGTGCGAGTGATATAGCAACTTGGACGCACCCACGGAGTGGTCACGCTCACCTGCTCGACTATGTCATCGTACGTCAGCGTGATATGCGTGAAGTGCGCATGACACGTGTACTGCGTGGAGCTGAGTGCAGCACTGATCACAAATTGGTGAGGAGCAAACTGTACATATATTTTCGTAAATCTATGTATTGCACTGCCGCCGTGAATCGGCGTAAATTTAACATTCTCTCCCTCGGTACTGTGGCGAAACGTACTGAGCTGGAGAAGGCGATGGCTGCACGCCTGTGTGATGTGGACTGCATAGCCACAGTGGGCGACCTGTGGCACCACATTCGCGACTAGGTGACAGCTGCTGCGGAGGAGACCATCGGGCGCGCAAACTGTAAGCGGCCTGATTGGTTTGATGACAACAATGTGACGATTGACGCATTGGTGTCGGAGAAGAATGCAGCATTTGCTGCCCATGTTGCAGACCCCAGTGACTTGAGGAAGAGTAGTCAGTTTCGCAAACTTCGACGGCGACTGACCCGAGAGCTCCGTTGCATTAAAAATGCATGGTGGACGGAGAAGGCGAAGCAGATTGAATGCTACGCCGAACGCCGTCAACACAAGGAATTCTTTTACTCCTTGAAGGCGGTGTATGGACCGAGATTGGAGCCGCTGAGGACACTGATCGATGGTAGTTCAGGCGCTACCTGCACCCAGACTGCAGACATAATGCAGGTCTGGCGGAAACACTTTGACTGTCTCTTGAACAACCGTTCAGAGATCGACTGGCCTACATTGAATGGCCTGAAACAGCACGATGTGAAGGCGGATCTGGCGGATACGCCGAGACTGGATGAGACGCAGAGAGCACTTGCTCAGCTGCGAAACGGCAAATGTGCCGGAGGTGACGGGATCCCACCTGAAGTATTGAAAAATGGTGGACCCGCGTTGTTGACTGCGCTGCACCACTTGGTGCAACGCGTGTGGATTGAGGAGGAGGTGCCTCCTGAGCTGAAGGATGCCCTTGTGCTACCACTGTACAAGGGTAAAGGTAGAAAGCAATGTTGCACGAATTATCGTGACATCAACTTGCTGAGTTGTGTAGGCAAGGTGATTGCCCGAATCCTGCTCAATCGCCTCGTGAGTCAGATTGTGGAACCAAACGTGGCGGAAGAGCAATGTGGATTCCGTTCGGGTCGCAGCACTATAGATATGGTGTTTGCGGCTCGTCAGTTGCAGGAAAAGTGCAGAGAACGACACCAGCCTTTGTACTCGCTTTTTGTTGATTTCACCAAGGCATTTGATACGGTGAACCGCGAGGCACTGTGGCTGGTGTTGGGTAAGTTTGGTTGCCCGCGTAAGTTTGTAAGTTTAATTGAATGTCTGCACAGTGGTATGCGAGCGAGGGTGCAGCTGAGTGGAGAGACCTCTGATGACTTCGAATTTGTCTCTGGTGTGAAGCAAGGCTGTGTCTTAACTCCTGCCCTGTTTAATATCTATCTTCATGCAATGCTGTCTTGTGCTTTTGATGCGGCTTGTGCTTACGGTGTTCGTGTGGAGCACCGTATTGATGGTGGGTTGCTGAACATCCGTCGTTTCGGTGCGAGAACTCTAGTCTGTGAGACAACTATCCGTATGTTGCTGTTTGCTGACGACTGTGCGTTGTTTTCACAAAACGCGGATGTGTTGCAGCACATGACTAGTGCTCTGGCTTCGACAGCTGCCAAATTCGGGCTCACCATCAACACAAGCAAAACTGTCTGTCTCTTTCAGCCTTCACCGGAGGTGCAAGCTTCAATATTGCCGCAAATCAGCATTGGTGCTGAAGTATTGGAAACCACCTCCCGCTTCTGCTATCTTGGGAGTGTGATGTCGACTGATCAACAGCTATACGTTGAGTTGCGTAATCGCGTGTCGAAGGCGGCAGCGGCATTCGGGAAGCTAGAGTACCGAGTGTGGAACAACCATCAGCTTAGCATTGGCACGAAGCTGATGGTGTACAAATCCATGGTACTGTCCGTTCTTCTATGCGGCAGTGAAACGTGGACGATGTACCGTCGGGATGTGCGATATCTCGAGCGTTTCCATC